CTTTTTGACAGGGTCTTGCTCTGTCACCCAGGCTGGAGTGCAGTGGCTGAATCACAGCTCCTTACATGTTCCTGGGCTCAAGCGATCCTCCTGCCTCTGCCTCCCAAGTAGCTGGGACCACAGGCATGTGCCACCATGACTGGCTAATTTTTGCATTTTTGTATGCGGGGGGTTCGCCATGTTGCCCAGGCTGGTCTCAAACACCTGGGCTCAAGCGATCTGCCTGCCTCAGCCTTCCAAAGTGCTGGGATTACAAGCACGAGCCACCATGCCCAGCCAATAAAACTTTATTTACAAGGAAGTCTCAGTTTGCCGAGCGCCCCCCCTCCATTTTCAACCATTCCCTAAGGTAGGGTGATCCACGATCAGTTTTCCTAAAACTCTTCCTGTTTTAGAACTGAAAGTCAAGCGTCTTGAGAAATCTCAGTTCCAGACAAAGCAGGACGATGAGTCCCCCTTACCAAGAGATGGTGCTTGCTGTGGTCAAGAACCACTGAGAATCTCTATACATGTTTGTGAGATGAATGAATGAACTAGGTTTTGGGAACTTCCATCTAAGGAGTCTCTCTCTTCCTTTCTCCTGCTCAATTTCTCTCTGGAGTGAAGGATCCTGATGTGCATGCTTCTCCCCTCCAGATGGGCTGCGCCATCATTGCGGGCTTCCTGCACTACTTTTTCCTTGCTTGCTTCTTCTGGATGCTGGTGGAAGCTGTGATGCTCTTCCTGATGGTCAGAAACCTGAAGGTGGTGAATTACTTCAGCTCTCGCAACATCAAGATGCCGTACCTCTGTGTCTTTGGTTATGGGCTGCCAGGGTTGGTGGTGGTGATCTCTGCCAGTGTGCAGCCACAAGGCTATGGAATGTATAATCGGTGAGTGGCATCCTCTCTCTTCCTGAAGACCCTGCTGCCAGGGCTCATGGTGATCATGACATGAGCAGCAAGAAGAGTAATAATGGTAACAGTGGTTGTGGCTACTGTTTAATGAGCTCTTACTTTATGTACTGTTGGTTTCAGGACTACCATGTATAGCAGCACAGGTTGTGCACTGCACAAATCCAGGGTCACTACTATTTGAGATTTATGTCCCAGGGAGAGAACATCTGGTTGACCTAACTTGATTATTTTCCTTTCCTTGTGTATATGACGTGGGGGGTGGGAGTGAAGGTGGGAGAGGAATACTTCTGCTTAGGGAACACTGGGGTGCTGTTATTGAACATGACAGAATGGTTGTTGTGTAAAAGCAGCTAATGTACGCTAGAGACATAGTAGAAACAGGCAATCCCTTTTCTCTCCCTCCTGCCCTCTCTCCCTCCTCCATTCATTCCTCCCTTCCTCACTTCCCTCCTTCCTCCCTTCCTCCTTTCCCTCATCCTTCCCTCCCTCCCTCCCTCTCTCCCTTCCTCCCTCCCTTCCTTCCTTACTTTAAATAAACAATTATGAAATGTCTTGTCTATGCTAGGCTTTACACTGGGTGCTGAGTGTTCAGAGATGAACAAACACCCAAGGCCCAAATTCTCATGCAACTCTAGTCTAGCCAACAATTAAACAAGGTGACTTATGACAGTGCTAGCTGCTAGTTTAAAAATGCAGTGAACTCTGCTAGATGAATACCAGGAGTAGAGATAGGATGCCTTATCTAAGGACAGTCAGGAGTGACTTCTCAGAGGAGGTGGCATTTGAACTGAGATTTATTTATTTTTGAGGCAGAGTTTTGCTCTCGTCACCCAGGCTGGAGTGCAATGGTGCGATCTCAGCTCACTACTCCACCACCCAGCTTCGAGCAATTTTCCTGCCTCAGCCCCCCAGGTAGATGGGGTTACAGGCATCTGCCACCACGCCTGGCTATTTGTTGTATTGTTAGGAGATACGGGGTTTTGCCATGTTGTCCAGGTAGGTCTTGAACTCCTGACCTCAGGTGATCCACCAGCTTTGGCCTCCCAAAGTGCCGGGATTATAGGTGTGAGTCCTCATGCCAGGCCTGAGCTGAGGTTTAAATGACAAGGTGTACCAGTGGAGAGTTTGGATAGATGCTTTGTAGAGGAGAAAAGAGAAGGCTACAGGTATGACCTGACTGGAGGCTGTTGCATGGATGGGAAAGCTGTAGGTGGCTGACTAGGAGGGGGTATCCTATGTGATTGGTTAGGGGTGCTTATTGGCTTCTACCGGTTGGTCCTAACAGGGATTACAAAGTAGTGAACTGGGAAATGAGCTCAACCTTGGGCACTGGGTAAGCATTTCCCAGGTACATTTCTGTGCCAAAGGTACATTTGCACAGGAAGAAGGTCTAAAAGAGGAAGCACTGAGGTCTAAAGGAAACTGAACTGCAACTGGAACGATCCTGAACATCCTCTGAGTCTCACCTCCCAACGTCCTCCTCCACAAGGGCGTTTGTTGGGGCAGTGTTAACTGTCAGGTCAGGACTCTGAGGAGAGCGCTGACTCCTCCTATTTCTCTCCATAGCTGCTGGCTGAATACAGAGGCGGGGTTCATCTGGAGTTTCTTGGGGCCAGTTTGCATAGTCATAATGGTAAGCAAATACTATGACAGCCTGGTGAAGCGTGTTCTGGAGGAGGAGCAAGGAGACTGTGGGATCAGGAATTTGCAGGGACATGTGCAACTAAGAGGGTCACTTATTCCACTCAAGAGTTCTCCTTTCTAGGCCAGGCTCAGTGGCTCATGCCTGTAATCCCAGCAATTTGGGAGGCTGAGGTGGGTGGATCACCTTAGGTCAGGAGTTCAAGACCAGCCCGGCCACCTTGGCAAAACCCCATCTCTACTAAAAATATAAAAAATTAGCCAGGCGTGGTGGTGACCACCTGTAATCCCAGCTACTCAGGAGACTGAGGCAGGAGAGTAGCTTAAACCCAGGAGGCATGGAGGTTGCAGTGAGCCAAATTTTCACCATTGCACTCCAGCCTGGGTGACAGACTGAGACTCCGGCTCAAAAAAAAAAAAAAAAGTGGAATGGTGGCTCATGCCTCTTATCCCAGCACTTTGGGAGGCCGAGGCAGACAGATCACCTGAGGTCAGGAGTTCAAGACCAGCGTGATCAACATGGAGAAACCCCATCTCTACTTAAAATACAAGATTAGCCAGGTGTGGTGGCACATGCCTGTAATCCCAGCTACTCGGGAGGCTGAGGCAGGAGAATCACTTGACCCTGGGAGGCAGAGGTTGTGGTGAGCCAGGGTCACACCATTACCCTCCAGTCTGGGAGACAAGAGCAAGACTCTGTCTCAGTAATAATAATAATCATCATCATCATCAATGTTTATCTTACCCATTCCCAAATCTTCAAGGACATTGAGCTTTCTTGGAAGTTTTACTGATCTGGAAAAAAGCAACTCCCCTGGGGCAGTGGTTCTCCACTGGTACTGCTTTTCCTCTCAGGGGAAGTTGGCAAAGTTTGAAGACATTTTTGGTTGTTACAACTAGAAAAGGCGGATTCTACTGGCATTTAGTGTGCAGAAGCCAGGGATCCTGCTTTGACGGTGCACACGGCAGCCGCCTCCCCCCGCTGCCCCCACACACCAAGAATGGTCTGACCCACACGTCAGTATTGCCCAGGTGAAGAGACCCTGCCCTGGGAGTATGTATATCTCAGTCAGGGATGCTTTTGAGGGAGGGTTTTAGAAGATAGTAAACTTTCCACTCAAGGTCACAGTCTACGTCCTAACGTATTGAATGCACCTTGGGAAAATAAACAGAGACTGCCCCATTGAGAACAAGCAAAGGCTGTTTATTCAGAGACTGCTGTAGTCTAGCAATGCGGGAGTCAGCTACCATCACTTGCATTGGCTCAGACTCAAAGGCAGGCAGAGAAGTGAGGAAGGTTTGTAGAGGAAAAAAGAGAAGACTACAGCTATGACCTGATGGGAGGCTGATGCACGGATGGGCAAGCAGTACGTGGCTAACTAGGAGCGGGACATCCTATGTGATTGATTAGGGATGAATATTGGCTTTTACATGTTGGTTGTAAGTTGGAAGTAGGGACAAAAATTAGGGAAGATCCTAAGTTGGAAGCAGGAACAAAAAGTAGGGAGTTATTAACCAAGTCCTGGTTGTCTTGTTCAATTGCTACAGGGGTCATTGTTTAGCTTTCTAGATTGGTTGCCCATAGATTGTGGGTCAGAGTTCTCCTTTTTTATTTATTTATTTTTTTTTGAGACAAAGTCTCGCTGTGTCGCCCAGGCTGGAGTGCAGTGGCATGATCTTGGCTCACTGCAACCTCTGCCTCCCAGGTTCAAGCAATTCTCCTGCCTCAGCCTCCTGAGTAGCTGGGATTGTAGGCACCTGTCACCATGCCCAGATAGTTTTTGTATTTTCAGTAGAGGCAGGGTTTCACCATGTTGGCCAGGTTGGTGTCGAACTCCTAACCTCAAGTGATCCACCTGCCTCATCCTCCCAAAGTGCTGGGATTACAGGCAGGAGCCACCGCACCCAGCCCAGAGTTCTCCTTTTATAGTTGTTCTGATCATTGCCCATTTGTATATCCAGTCTCTCCATCTTGCTGCTTGACTTTGCAGATCAATTCCATCCTCTTGACCTGGACCTTGTGGATCCTGAGGCAGAGGCTTTCCAGCGTCAATGCCGAAGTCTCGACACTAAAAGACACCAGGTGCAGCCCTTTTTCCTCTCCCCTCCTCTTTTAAATTCCTTTTCCTTCTTCTCAGAAAAGTTCTTTGAGCACTTTTTGTGTATTGGGTCCCATGCCCAAGACAGAGATGGTGAGGTCTGTTTAGAAGATGACACCATTGGCTCACGCCTGTAATCTCACCACTTTGGGAGCCCAAGGCGGGCAGATCACAAAGTCAAGAGATCGAGACCATCCTGGCCAACATGGTGAAACCAGATCTCTACTAAAAATACAAAAATTAGCTGGGCATGGTGATGGGCACCTGTAATCCCAGCTACTCAGGAGGCTGAAACAGGAGAATCTCTTGAACCCAGGAGGCGGAGGTTGCAGTGAATCAAGATCGCGCCACTGTACTCCAGCCTCGCGACAGAGTGAGACTGTCTTTCAAAAAAAAAAAAAAATCACCAAATTCATGTGTGTACAGTATCCATGTATATTGGAAGCTGACTGCATTTTTTTTTTTTGAGTTGTAGTTTTGCTTTTGTCACCCAGACTGGAGTACAATGGCCCAATCTCAGCTTACTGCAACCTTCACCTCCCAGGTTCAAGTGATTCTCCTGCTTCAGCCTCCCGAGTAGCTGGGATTATAGGCACCTGCCACCACACCTGGCTAGTATTTTTAATAGAGATGAGATTTCACTGTCTTGGCCAGGCTGGTCTTGAACTCATAACCTTGTGATTCACCTGCCTCAGCCTCCCAAAGTGCTGGGATTACGGGCGTGAGCTACCACACCTGGCCATCTCAGTGCTGATTCTTCTTTGCAGCACCAAGCATTTGTTCCCAACAGCCTACGAACACACTGGCCACCTCCCAGAGCCTTACACTCTGTACATCTTCTCCCTAGATTGCTGACCTTCAAGGCCTTTGCCCAGCTCTTCATCCTGGGCTGCTCCTGGGTGCTGGGCCTTTTTCAGTTTGGACCTGTGGCAGGTGTCATGGCCTACCTGTTCACCATCATCAACAGCCTGCAGGGGGCCTTCATCTTCCTCATTCACTGTCTGCTCAACCACCAGGTGTGTAGCTGCTGCCTTCCCCATCCCCCGCATCCCTCCACCCAACATCCCTGTCCCTGGACCATTTCTCTGCATCTTGGGGTGTGTCTCCTCCAGGTACGAGAAGAATACAAGAGGTGGATCCCTGGGAAGACCAAGCCCAGCTCTGAGTCCCAGACCTCAAGGATCTCGCTCTCCTCCATGCCGTCCACTTCCAAGACGGTAAGAGACTGCATGCTCCCTGTGGGCACTGGTCAGGGGAGGTGCCAGCCACCAACTGACAGTCAACTCTGCCATGTGTTGGGTACTGAATGGGAACTGAGGGTGCCCACCCTAGGTAGCTCATGGATAAAGTATGCAGTTAAAGACTGGGGAGTTATATATATATTAGCAGACACACACATTATCTATCTAAATATCTATCATCTATCTATCTAAATAAAATTGCAAGAATAAATAAGACATATATTTAACAGCACCTTGAAAAAAAAGAAAAAAAAATAAGACATATAATTTATAACAAAAGACTTACATATATAGATTTGTATGTGAATTATGTAACATGTGTTAAAAATATTTTATATATTATGTTTATAAAATAAATCTATATACATTTATTATATATACAATAATAGATAATATGGTATACATATAATATGGAAGTTATATACATATATACATAAACTTGTAGAATAAGTTTATGGTATAGATTTTTTTTTTTTTTGAGATGGAGTCTCACTCTTGTCGCCCAGGCTGGAGTGAAATGGTGCGACTTCGGCTCACTGCAACCATTTATATGTATATGTATTTATACATTTATATGTACATACATTCTATATTATATGTATATAGAATATACAATTATATGTAGAATATAGAATAAATTTATATGTATAAATTTATGTGTATAATTTATAAGTTGTATATATATAAATTCCATATACATATAAATGTAAGATGTAAGTTTAAATATAGATATTGGCCAGGTGCAGTGGCCCACACCTGTAATTCCAGCACTTTTGGAGGCCGTGGCAGGTGGATTACCTGAGGTCAGGAGTTTTAGACCAGCTTGGCCAACATGGTGAAACCCCCATCTCTAGTAAAAATACAAAACTAGCCAGGCATGGTGGCAGGTGCCTATAATTCCAGCTACGCAGGAGGCTGAGGCAGGAGAATCTCTTGAACCCAAGAGGCCAAGGTTGTAGTGAGCAGAGGTTGCACCATTGCACTCCAGCCTGGGCCAAAAGAGCAAAACTCGTTAGTACATAAGAGCAGATTTATGACAGGAAATATGATATAAAAGAAATCAAATGGATCACTTGTGATGAATGCTTGGCATGCTGATTGGCTACACTCTGCTAATACTCATAAAACTGAAAAAAAAGAGCAAAATTCCATCTCAAATAAATAAAATATAAATATCTTCGCATATATATTTATATATAGAAAAATTTTATATATTATAAAAATTTTATATATTATGGATGACATATATGTAGATTTTCAGGAATATTGAAATATTAAAATGAATATGCAAATGGGGGGAAGTTGTTTTCCCACTAGAATGTCTTATTTTTTTTCAACAATGTTTTCCAGGTCCAAAACAATGCTATCTAGCATACAGTAAGTTCTCGGTTAATATTTCCTGAGTAAATAGTAATTCAATAGCTTAGTTTCCTCACTAATAAAATGGGGATAATGGTAATCCTTACCTTGGAAGTTTATACTAAATTTTTTTTTGAGACAGAGTTTTGTTCTTGTTGAGACAGAGTTTTGCTCAAGGCTGGAGTGTAATGGTGCAATCTCAGTTCACTGCAACCTCCTCCTCCTGGGTTCAAGTATGTGCCACCACATCCAGCTAATTTTGTATTTTTAGTAGAGACGGGGTTTCTCCATGTTGGTCAGGCTGGTCTCGAACTCCTGACCTTGGGTAATCCTCCCGCCTCAGCCTCCCAAAGTGTTGGGATTACAGGCACGAGCCACCCCACCTGGCAGTTATACTAAATATTAGATGAACTGGTATGCAACAAGGTTGGAAGAGCACCTGGAACATAGCAAGATCTCAGTGTTAAGTCTTGCAAAAGTCCAGCAAGGGAGATATCATCGATCTATTTTCATTATGAGTTAACTGAATGTCACAGAGGGGCAAGTTCGGTGGTTTCAGAATAAGCCACAAGAATAACCTACTGGAAAAACTGTCCAAATCATGGATGACATATTCTCTTGGCAATAAGTTTTTTAACATAATACAGTTTATTTTTAATAAAGAAGACAGTATAGGTACAGAACATTTTAGAAAATAGTTTTAAGCATTGAAAACAAATAAAACTAAACTTTCCCATTATCCCACCCCATAAAGATCCCAGTTAGTAATATTTTTGGATGCAAGTACTTTAGATCCAGTGGCTTAATTAAATAGGGAATGATTTTCCTTGTAAGAAGAGAAGTCCAGAGTTAGGTGTTGCTGATATTGCTGGTTTTGCTGGTTCTATGCTTACTGGTGTTATAAAAGGTCTAAACTAAGAATCTAGGTTTTCCCTAGTTTTCCATTCCACCATCAGCATGTTGACTTTTTTTCTTTCTTTTGGTGAGATAGAGTTTCACTCTTGTCGCCCAGGCTGGAGTGTAGTGGTGCTATCTCAGTTCACCACAACCTCCGCTTTCCAGGTTCAAGTGATTCTCCTGCCTCAGCCTCCTCAGTAGCTGGGATTACAGGCATGCGCCACCACGCTTTGCTAATTTTGTATTTTAAGTAGAGTTGGGGTTTCTCCATGTTGAACTCCCAGTCTCAGGTGATCCACCCACCTTGGCCTCCCAAAGTGCTGGGATTCCAGGCATGAGCCACCACGTCCGGTGCATGCTGACATTTTATTATATTATTTTCATGGTTGTAATAACCAACAGCTGTCTGGCTTTCTAAAGTCCAGAGTGTACACTATCTATGCTGAGGAGGTTGAGAATGGCTTTTGGGTTTTCCAACTGTGCTGGTGTTGGAAATAGATGTTAAAAGATCCTTTGTCTCAGTGCTAATTTTTCTTTTTTCTTTCTTTTCTTTTCTTTCTTTCTTTTTTTTTTTTT